ACCTTTGTCTCTCTTGCCTGTAGCATTGCGTGTGTCTTCTCGACTCGACCAACTGACAGTACTCATCCTCTCCCAGACTCTCCTCGACCCCCTCGCCGTCGCCGTCACCGTCGCCGTCAACGTCGCCGTCGCCCTCACTCTCGCCTTCACCATCACCGTCGTCGTCGTTGTCGTCGTCGTCGTCGTCGTCATCGTCGCCTCCTTCTTCCTCTTCTTCATCAACCCTTTTTTGACTGTCGCCTCGTTCACTCCTTCTTCGCTCCACTTGTCTCTCCGACTGCCGCACACCGGCTGTATACTGGCCGGGATACGCCAAGGGGTGGGCCGGCGCCAGGCCTGGCTCCGCCTCGTCCGTCATGCTGATCTCCATGGAGGCCGAGGAGAGGTGGCCAGAGTCAGCGCTGCCTGCCTCCAGACTGTCCAGGCTCTCGTAGTCCAGTTTCACCTCCACCGCGTCGGCCGATTGGCCGTCGGGCGGCGGATGGGCGCTCGAATGACCACTTGCTCCGGTTGCTGGGCTTGTGTGCATCATGTCAGTCGGCTTGACGACAGCAGACGTCTATGTTACCGTGGCGACTGGGCGAATTGCACTGGCTTTGCGGCTTTCAGAGGCGCCGGACTCGGTGGCTAGACCGAAAGTGGGATCCACACCAGACACGGCTTGGCTGGGACCGGCAGCTCTGGGGCGCATAGCAGTTGGCGAGTGAAGGACAAGAGGTTCATGTGTCTGGGAATGCTTGGTGGGTGTGCACAAGACTGGTCGTGAATACATCCAGAGTTGTGAGATTCGACGAAATCCCACTGCTTCTCGACTCCACAAACTGTCAACCGTCACTGAGGCGTACTTCCGAGACACTGAAATGGACACTCGCAGCAAGAAAACTTCGCCGCCCACCTTCCGTGTCGTTACGGCGGTCAACCTGACCAGCCATATGCATTAATGTATGTTTATGTGCGTATGTGTGTCTGTGTGCGTGTGTGCATAAAGAGGAAGAGACCGAGTGGGCATGTGTGTGTGTTTGTATGTATGTATGTGTGTGTGTGTG